AGATGGACGGGCACCTTTCCCAAAGTGCCTTGCGCTTCCCCAAGACCCTTGTGAGGGCAAAGATGGCAGTAGTCCCTCACCTTCCTATGCCCCCCTCCAGTCCTCCGATGCTGTATGTGTTCAAGGAAAAGTAGCAAAAAGGGAGGAAAGAAGTCCCTAAAAGGGTAGCGACTTGCCCGAGGACATCGCTACATAGTGGTGCATCCAGAACCTTCCTCTCAGGCTGGCTGTTTGGACTCTCTGGGCAGGCAACAGAAGATAGGAGACAGGGACCAAATCCAGGATCTCAGAGCTCTGACCTCCCCGTCCTTCCCTCCCTCCCTGCCTTGATTAGATTAGGGTCCAGCTTTCCGCTCCCCGACTCCCCTTCCTGAGGAATAGGGGCTTTATCTCCAAAGCCCAGCAGAGCTCTGGCCTCAAATCTGGCCAGAAGTCACCACCCTCCTTTCATACTGACCATGTGTCATGCCAACTCTTTTTGGAGGTGGACACTTCCACCAGGGCCTGGGAAACACTGACTTCCACTGAAGCACTAGGAGCATCCAGGAAAGCCCGTTCTCCTACACAGACCTTTTTTGAATGGAGGCCAGTGGGAGGGGAGGGAGCCAAGGAAGTAGGGAAGGCCCAGGCCAGCCTTGGGCTGTATGGGGTGGGCAGGCTGTAGCCACACGTCATTTCCAAGGCCATCTGCAGGACCACGGCTGGGGAGTTTGTGGGTGGGTGTTGTGGAATCTCTTCCCCTGGCTAAGACAGAGGAGGCTGTTTTTTCTTCCTTTCTTTAAAAAAATTATTATTATTATTATTTTTATTTTCTCCCTTCCCCAACTTGATTACAAAAGTAATAGATCTTTGTTGTGAAAGAAACTTAGAAAAAGGAGAGCCCCATAGTCTAAACTTCAGAGCTAGTGAAACATTGTGAACATGTTTTTATATATAATCTTCCAGATATTTTTTCTCTGTGTTTATTTTTTCTCTGTACATATATATCCCATATGGGATTATCTAAGGCATATTGTTATACAATTTTCCTTTTCTCATTTAGATCTTAGGCTTAATTCAATGTCAGGACATACGGATTTTTCTCATTCTTTTTGATGACTTCATGAGATTCCATGGTATGAATGGACCTTCATTTATTAATTAAATCCACACTGTGTCCCCAGCAGTGAACTTCCTTGTACACGTTTATTTGTACATTTGGGGGAGACTTCCTATATGATAATTGCTGGAAGTATAATTGTTGTGTCAAAGGATATACTTATTTCAAATTTTCCTAGATAATGCCAAAGTGTATCTGTGTGTAGAGAGGGTTGGGTGTGCATGCCGGGGAAATGTCTTCCAGCCTCCTCATCCTCCATCCTCAGATTTCAAAGCTTCTTCAAGCTGAAGGATGTGTGTGTGTGTGTGTGTGTGTGTGTGTGTGTGTGTGTGGGAGGAGGGGTGGGTAGACAATTTGGTGCTCTTGCTTTATGGGAGGGAGGTAAGAAATAAAATCATCAGTGACTCTGGTGGAGAATCTGCAGGCCTGGGGAATGAGATTGGGCTGACTTTTGTGCCTGGGGATTGAGCCCCGCCTGGGGCTGCCTCGCTGACGATGGAGGTGAGCAGATGGTGAGGACTCCCTAAGCACCCAGCTTCTCACAGACGGCAGGCAGAGTGGGCGAAACAGCTCCTGAAATAAATCCCAAGGACTTGGCCCAGGGAGGGAGGGAGGCTGAGATTAGGAGTGCGTGCTCTGAAAGGAAACTGAAGAACAGATCTGAGCCTGAAGGAGGGCAGCTGGAGGCCCTGGACCCCACCACCCCCACTCCTCTAGTGAGGACCCCCACCCGCCACTATAGCTCATGGACTCCTGGAAAAGGAAGCAGAAGCATGAAGTATCAGCTCCCTTGGCCACTCTGGACTCTTCGGGGCTCGGTCTCTGTTTAGTTCATTCAGGTCCCTGGGCTAATCCCGGGTATATGCCCCTCCTGAATGGAGTGGAGCGACGGGGGAGCAGGAGAGCCGGGAGGGCTTATCTCTTCAGCACCTCCCATCCCCTCCTATTAAATCTGGTGAGAAGATTGAGGGAGGAGGGTGGGGTGACAGCTGGCTTTTAAAGATTGCTGAAAGTGAGGTTTTGTGCTTTTGATTGTGTTTGTTTTTATAAGCTCATGCATTGCTTTCCAGTCCAGATGCTGACTCTTATCCCTCGGGAGAGAGAGGGCAGAAGGGCTTGCTCACTCTTTGGAACTCTCCCAGTCTGATGTGGGAGGAGCAGAGCCACCAGTCTGACCAGGCAGCACCTCAGAAAGTAACCCACAAAGCAAGACTTGGGTCTGCCACCGACTTCTGTGACCTTGACCAAGCCATTCCTTGTCCCCTGGCCTCAGTTTACCCATCTGTAAAGTGAGGAGGACAAGTAAACGGTATCAGAATTTTTCTGGTTCACTTTCTGTGGTTCTCAGTACAGTGTGGGTGTGGGGAGCTCCTTAATCATCTTTCTCCCTTCATCTTATCACTCTCTGAAATTACCTTGTTTTGTTTTAAGTTTGTTTACTGTCTACCTTCATTTCCAGGTGGTCCAGGATAGTCCTCATCCATTTTGCATACTACTGAATCCCCAGGACAGTGGGGGGCACAAGTATCTCCTATCTGTGGAATGTGGGATGTCTACTCAGCAGTTGCAGGATTGGGGTATCACCTCAGTAAAGAAGTGGTTTTAGCCTATAAATGCTGACAGCACTCAGGAAAGAAGCTATCAATTAAGTTTGGGGAGTTTATCTGGGATGGCTTCCTGGAGGAGGTGAAGAAAAGAAGCAGATTTCGAACTGTAATTAGGTATTCTGATTAACATGGAATTTGGAGGACCATGGCCTGGGGAGTACTTTCTTGGCCCTATCTACTGCTCAGGAGAAAAGACCTGAGTTTGAAGTTTAACAGACAGTTTCGTTCCTCCCTTCCAAGTAATTAGTTACCTGGCCTGGGACTCTCCCTAGAGTCTGTTCACCACTCCCTTCCTTCAGCTCCTCCTAAGATCACCCCAGGATAGTCAGATTGTATCTAGATTCCCATTCTCTGCCTCCCACTCCAGAGGGGCCGAGTGTAGATCAGGCGTTGGGGAAGGGACACCCAAGGTCTAGACTTGTGCTGTCCCATATGGCAGCCACCAGCCTCATGTGGCCACTGAGCAGGGGAAACGTGGCTGAACTGAACTGAGATGTGTTATAAGTGTGAAAAACACAACAGGTTTTGAAGACTTAGTATGAAAAAAGAATGCAACCATCTCATGAATACTTTTTAATATAGAGGTGTTGAATTTTTTGATATATTGAGTTAAATATAATGCTTCATTACAATTAGTTTTATATGCTTCTTTTTACCTTTAAAAAAATGTGGCTACCAGAAGTTCTAAAATTACAGCTGTCATTTGCATTCTATTTCTGTTGACAATGCAGGTCCAGATATTTGGGGAAAAGGGCATTATGAGTCAAAGAATGGGAGCTCCACTGTTCTTCCTTTCTGCTGAAATCAGAAGAGAAATAGACCAAACTGCAGAAGGTGGGTAGATCATAGGAAGGCCTTCTGGACAGTGAGGACTGAACAGTTCAAAAGGTCTGCACATCTCCTTCCTGGAAAGCATTCAGGGTAGGTTAAGACTTTGCATATCTCGAATTATCTTAAAGCACCTTATCAAACTATGATTGTCACTGATCCAAACCTGATGATTTTGCAGGTGACTTTCTGAGATTCACTCAGGGTGTTTTAACTCCATAAACATCTCTTTAACTATATATTTGATGATGAGCCCAGATACCTGGAATCCACAGAAAACTCCTAACATGATTTTACCCAATAGTTTTTGACCTGTCATCATACTGCTCAGCTAGCAGCCACAGTGTTGATAGACTGGAGTTTCACCATCTTGCCCTCCCCTGCGGCCTTACTCCGCCCAACCCTCCCCCAATTCCCAAAAAGTGCTAGAGCAGAAAGAGGGCTCAGGCAGGGGAAGATGCCAGCTGGGGGTCTGGATAATCCCCAAACTGGATTATCTGTTCCTGACTTTACACATACATAAGCAGGCGGCCTATGTGCAGACAGGATGTACTGTGGGGATCAGGCTAACACAGTGTGTGTGAATGAGTGTGTGTGTGTGTGTGTGTATAAATGCGGGGTGGGGGCAGTCCTACAATAAAATCCCCCACCCACCTCCACTTATCTCCCACCCAGAGCATTAATTTAATCAATCACTCATTTTTTTTCCAATCAATCATATACAATATCACACGATTTAGCATTATTATATACTGACACACCATCCTAGGTGCTGGAGCTAAGGTGCAATCTGTACACAAAAATGTCCTAGATCCAGTTTCCTCAATGCAGAGCCTGAGACAGGGATTCAGGGGTACATGGTTTATTGAGGACAAACTCTCAGGAGAAGGGGAGAGAGGGAAGCAGGACAGGGCAGGGGAGGGGCTAAGCAAGGACCCTTCTTAACAGCTGGAGTCTAATTTCAGCTTGATTCTGTGGAGAAGCTCTTGATGGAGACTGTCCCCTGAGGCAGGAAAGTTGGTCCTTTGTAAACCCCCTACCCCCATCAGTCAGCTGGCTGCTGGTTGCTCAAGTCTCCAGAGAAGGGGAGCTACTGTAGTCACTGGAGTCACTGGAGCCAACCAGCACTCACAGCCAGCAGAGGGGACCTGGGTAGGGCATCACGGGCATCCACTCAGGGTGGAGACCAAGAGGAGAAGAGCAGCTGACCGGGCGGGCGGGCCGGAGTCCTGATTGCTCTCCTTGTTTGGCAATCTAGTCCTCTTTCTACTGTCACTCTCGGCCTCGGCCTCAGCCCTTATCTGCTGTAGTCCTGCCTTGTTTCTCCCTCCATCCGTTTCTTGGTCCCTCCCTCCCTCCCTGCCTCCACCATCCTTGTTTCCTGCCTCTGATCTGCCGTCTCTCTTCTAGGGGTTATCTGAAATTCAGGCTGAAACGCTGAGTTTCTTTGAGAGCCTCCAGGAAGCTGGGGATCCTGAGTCATCCCTGTTGACCTCTTCCCTTGCCAGTGGGTCAGTTGAGCCCCACTGCTCCCTGAGGCAGAAAGCTTTGGGGTCCCAGGGGACATTTGACCCAAACCCCTTCTTCTGTGCACTCCCTTTACTGGGTGTATCCGTTCCCACCTCCTCTCTTGGAGCAAGGACAGTTCAGGAGAAATTCATTCTCGAGGCTTGACTCCTACCTAAACATCACAGGACACATTCTCCGGAAGGGAAGGGTGGGATCTGGGCTGGCTTCCTTAGAAATTTCAGAACTAAAAAGACACCTCCTTTCCTTGCCCCCTCCCAAGTTCAAACAGGGACTGGGAGAAAGGAAGAGATGATTGTTTCTGGCCAAAGGCTGGAGGGGTGGATGGACTGACCTCTGAAACTTTCTTTTCTCTGGCACAGCCCTGTTTGGAGAGTTGCCAGAATTCTGAGGCAAAAAGCAAGGGAGAAGAAAATAATATTCTCTGAGGGCATTTGGTTGCTCTTTCATACCCCAGATCACACAGAGGGTCCAATGGCATGCTGTCCACATCTTCCTGTGCCTAGCATGTGGATTTCCTATGGTATGTCACATACACACACACACACAACTTCACTGTGTTGAAACCAGAACTGCTGGCTCCAAGGAGGAGAGAGGAAGCAGCTGTGGATAGGTGTGGGTGGCCACATACTTCTCCTTCTGGGAGGTGACACTTCCACTACACCTCCACAGGTTTCATCTGAACCTCACCCTAGCCTTGGACCTGTGTTGTCCAGGTGGCCAGAGGGGATGGAGGAGTTGCGCTGGCCCACTGCCAACAAGGAAAGCATTCTTAACAGGCCCTTGAACTCAGCAAATCAATCCTCCCAGGGACTAAATCTGGAGGAAACTCAGCTTAAAGAACAGCAGTGAGAATAGAGCCTAGATCGCTGGGTGAACTTCAGTGACGGCTGACTGAAGTGCCCCGGAGAAGTCTATGAGGACACCCATCCTTCCTGATGGATTAGCTGAAGGCAGGGTGTGGGGCCAGGACAAAGTCTGGGGTCTGGACTGGGGAAAGTGACCCTGGCAGCCCAAAGCACTTGGCATCTCTGAATCAGAGGGAGGAACTCCCTGACTGGACGTGTCACCCCCATTAGGCTGGGCTGGGGCTGTAATTGCTGTAATTCGTTGATGAATGCAATTTACAGCTGGCTTCTCTCCCTGTGACAGGCCTCAATTAGAGCTGCCAGAGGGAGCTGAGGTGGGAGGGGGAGCTGGGATGTTTCCAACTGCTTCTTCTGGTCCCCTCTCAGCTCGCTGCCCCACCTCAAAACAGGAGGGGATTCTTTAGGCCGATTCATTGTCCCTCCCACCCCCAAATTTACCCCTAGAAATATAATTTCAGAACAAGTGGTGCTGGAGTAGAGAGAGAGAAAGGTAAAAAATGAAGGATGCTTTCCTGATGGCTGGTCTGGAATGCTACGGACTTTAAAACTTAATGTTAATTTAGTTTAGTATTTTCTCATTTATTTTATTTTATTTAATTTATTTTTTTAATGGAGGTACTGGGGATTGAACCCAGGACCTCATGTATGTTAAGTACACGCTCTACCAAGCTCTTCTAAACAGCAATAGTGGGGTGAGGGGACAGCTCAGTGCTAGAGCGTGTGCTTAGCATGTGTGAGATCCTGGGTTCAACCCCCAGTACCTCCATTAAAAAAAAAATGACAAAACACCAAATCCTAAAAAGCAATAGGAATATTTTTTCAAACAAAACCTAACAGAGAAGCTCAATATGCAAGAAAGTCACGACTGATCCAGTTTAAGTGGAAGTGGGGGCTCTGAGACCCCTGGACTGTCCTCCCCACTGAGCCCCACCTCCCTCACTTCCTGCCTCTGAGGACTCCCTATCTAAGGTTCAGTTAGAGTGACCAGCTCATCCTTGTTTGTCCTGTTTTAGCATCAAAAATCCCAAATCCTAAGAAATCCCTCAAATCTGGGCAAACAGACAGCTGGTTACGCAACATTCAATGGAGCAAAAAAAAAAAAAAAAAAAAGAACAAAAAAACAAACCCGCTGATAAGACACATTTGATGTAATGATGAAGACACTGAGGCCAAGAGAGGCGACATGTTTTGAAGTCCCATAGTTAGATTCCCCATACCAGGTATAGCATATATATTGGAGAGTAAACCTTGCCCCTCTGCCCTGTAACCTGTAAACTGTAAAAACTGTCCACCTCCAATTCTCTCTCCTCCTTCAAAACCCTTTTTTCTGAAGCCTTCCTTGATTCTTCTAGAAAGAGTTATGTCCTCTCTTCTAATTCTTCTTTTAGAGCACTTACAAGGTAGAGTCATTTTTCATCTTGGGTCTTCTTCTCCAGTGGGACTGGAAGATTCTTGTTTCCATGTCTCACTTATTTTCACATCGTTCAGCACCTAGTACAGTATCTGGAGTAGAGCAGGCATTCAAAAAATGTTTTTAGATAGGTAGATGGATGGATGAATGGATGGATAGACGGATGAATGGATGGATGGATGGATGAATTGGAAGATGGGTAGATGGACTGGATGGATGGAGAGAAAGTTGGATAGATAGAACCCTGGGTACCATGTTGAAGGTCTTGGGATGGAACAACTGAGCAGTTTCTAGGCAAATTCTTTTTGTATCAATTTCTCTAATATGGCCATTTTGCTTGAATTTTATTTTTGGATTATCTAACAAAGCCATATTCAGATGTAAGGTCTGAAGTAGCTTCCTAACCCGATTAGAAGTAAGTTAAATTGATCATTTGGGGATTATTTTTGCCATTGCTTTCCTCTATGGAAAGTTATGATTTAACTACACAAATACAGTATTTGATGAAAATACTTCAAATAGGCGGCTGATGTCAGTGATGAATACTGGTCTGAAAATAAAACAGTTTAAAAATATCAGAAAAGGGAGAGTGTAGGAGGCAGGCAGGCAGGGTGAGCTGTTGGCGAATATATTGAGCAAAATGATCAGGATTCAAGGACTGGAAAGGCTGGAATCCCAATAGGAGGAATGTGATGTGAGGTGCACTTCCTAATTATCAGGATCAAGAGACAATAAGATTAAAAAGAGACAGAGAGAGAGGGACAATAGGACAGAAAGTTTTAAAAGGAAGAGGGGAATAATGTTGATCCTGTTTGGAAGCAAAACATTAGGATAAATGATTATTCATGATTCTTGACCTACTATTCCTTCAACTGCGACTTATTGAGCATCCATTCTGACCCATGTGTCAGGCCAAGCACTTTCACTTCCCTTTATCTCAGCCCGTTGTGCCTGGCGGCAGGAAGGCAGAGTCCACACACTCTCAGATGTGCACATTCTCCTCGGGTGAGCTCATCCATACCCATGATTTTAACCATGGCAGCTACGCTGACTCCCAAGTGTTCATCTCTAGTCCCACATCCTAACTCCACCTAGATGCTGAATATCTCCCCCGGGATGTCTGCAAGAGACATCATGTTAAATTCAAGAGACTCCATGTTGAATTTGTCTGTTTCCAGTCCAAACTTTCTCCTCTGCCCAGATTCCCCAACTCTAATCAAGGCATCCTCATCCAAGTCAGTGCCTGGGCATCATCCTCTTCTCCCTGTCCCCCACCCTCCACCACA